AGGATGGCCATCGTGGAGGTGTTTTCAGTCGGTAAAAATCCCCCCGACACTACCTAGATCCTTCCCTTAAAAAACTCAGGTGTCTTATCGAAAATTTCCTCCACGTAAAAAAAAAAAAAAAAAAAAATACGACGTAAGTTCAAGTACTTTTGTAGCTAGCATATTTCGAATACCACTTGAGAACATTCGTGACTCACTTGGGGGAAAAAAACTCGTAAGTTATTTCAGAGCACGATAACATTAGGCTGTGAATAAAAATTTGTTTGATCAATGGCCAGAAAGGCGACTGTGTCGTGAAATTCAGACGGGAAGGACAGCCCGGTACGAATAGGATTATTTGCGTGTTTACATCGAATGAAAAGCTGATCGAAACTATTCGAAGCTACAAAGATCTCAAACAGGGGAATTACTCCTTGATTCGACTATAATTGCATTGCGAAAACTTTCGTCTTTATTTTTAGCATCAATTCTATAACAATTGAAACGTTACATTTTTAAAAAGAATTTTAAATTGATCATACGTAAACTTTCGTAATTGTTCCTATTTTTAGACATGATCGACACAAATTCCAATGAATCAAATCATTCTTCTTCTAACGCGGGAGGAAACGAAGGTTTGAAATTCGAATGTTGGAATGCCGCCATTTTTGAAATTTCCGACATTGCTCGTCGTTGAATTTCATAGTATATAACTGAGACTTCAAAATTTTAATCATCTTCATTTATAACAAAATTCTTGATTCTGATATAGATACGTACATATATATGTAGAATGTAGATGCTCAAATTCAAGTACATTACATTTACAAATTTACATATACACGCTTGAAATAGATCTGAGGATAAACAATGAAATAATGAAATAATGCAAGTACTCACTTTGACTGTAGACAGCACTAGCAATGACCAACAGCGCGAGCGTTCCTCTGAGCTTCATGTTCACCCTTGTAAATTTCAGTCTATTCCCAATACCACTTGAACTCACTCACTTTCGATTCTCGAAGTCGCCGATATTAATCGCAGCGCGTCGATTAACGATGATACGGAACCGCGCAATGTTCATTTGACTGTATAACGTTCGTCACGTACGGTCAATCTTCTTTTCAATTGTCAACGGCAAAATAATACGTTTCTCATTCATAAAATAAAAGGGAAGGGGAGAGAGAGGACTAATGCGACGTGTACTCGTCGGAAGTTGAGATCAGAAATCTACGTGGACGAAGAGATGAGACTGTGAAAAGCGCACGCCTTTCTTCGGCAAACGTGACTCTTCTATTTCTTTCTCCCCTATACCCTCTCTCTTGTTCCGTCCCTCTGAATGGTGCACCGTGAACCGGAGCGTGCAGCACTTTCCACGAGGAACGCGATGAAATACCGTTTGATACTCTGTTCCTTCTTATAGTTTCTTGCTTGCCTCTTACGATACTATCCAGCAATATAATACGTGATAACACACGATTGACGTTTTAGGCACGAGAGGAGAAAAAATTTTGTCCAATCTCTATTGCTTCTTTTTCCCTCTGTCCGGATTGTTATTCGATTTTTTTTACTTTCTCGAGCAATTGTGGACAATTTGGTACGTCGAGAGTCACTTGATTTGAGTCGTGTCAGAGACTCTGGCACCGAAAATCGAGCCGAAAGGAAATTGGGATGAGAGAGACAATCAGGAAGTAAGTGCGACCCGCACCGTGTCGCGGTTCGCAAACGAATGCCAGTGAAGTTGCCGCTCTTCCGAATTCCGTGACTACATAGGTGTGCGTGCGCCGTATCCCTCCCCCTTCTCCCCACCCCTCAACTTGCCGATCCGTGTAAATTTAGTTATCCCCACCATCGCTGCTTCTCAGTTCTGCACACCATGTTCCCCCTGTTATAAATACACCGTCGGTGTGCAGCATTCGATTAGGAATGGGTCCGATCTAATTTCAGGCTCCTTTAATTTATAATCTTGCGTTTGAAATGGAATTCGATCCTTTTGTGCAGGTTATTTCATCGAAAACAAAGGAAAGAAAAGAGTAAGAAAAAGAGAATTGTTACACGTCGCAAGGATGCAGGTTGGTAATTTAATATCGGAAGTACCAACGATTGGAATGGAAAATCTATATAAGGAATATAGAGATGAATGTAGATAATGCAGGTTTATGTCTCTGTATCCATTTTGTAAAATATCATTCAAATTTTTGAATTCATTGTTGCAAGTCTGTAAAAATTTGTATGGAGGATTACTGTGAAAGTGTTGAATCGGTAATTTTGATCAGTTTTATTGCTAATTCTTTCAGTTTTTTTAAAGAGAAATTGACAAAAGTCTCCACCGCACTGTAATCTAAGCTCGCAGTACGAATTCGAGGGTTAAGGAGTGTTCCGAATGCGTGAAAGTTGAGGTTATCGATCTTCGTAGGTAGAAGATTTCTTCGTAATATTTCATTTAATTATATTTAATTTTAATTATTATAATAATTTTTTCGTTATTTACAGGATCATTTTAAATTATTTTTAAATTCCATGTGTGAAGCACATTGAAACATTTCAATATCTCACAATGATCACTGTTTTAACTCCTACGTAAGTTTCTTTCATAATTCTAATTTGATATTTATTTACGTTCTTGTAACACGTTGTTGTAATAAATAATAATTTTTTTAATGCCTTTTTGAAATAAATGTCATCGAACATTAATTTTAAATTTGTTTACTTGTAGATTTCAAAGACGACGATCTCGCGTAGATAATCGTTTTGAGCAAGATGTTTGCACATGCGCAGCTAGCTTAATTCCGTTCCTACTTTTTACCGGTCTCGAATCCGGTATATCTTCATTTCCTTTATCCCCACTGTATCTAGCTGAGCGCGTGTGCGGTCGACACGTCAATTATATCTGAATCGGAGGCGACGTCTCATCGTGATTACACCGCAAAATGAAAGCAACCTGGCTTTTCGTTAATGGCTTAATGATTCAGACCTGTTTGCATCATTTTCCACCATTATGATCATACAGTGATCGTTATAGATAAAATTCGAAGCTTTA